GTGAGCTCACTAGAAAATACTCGAGAATGCTTGAGTTAAATATTAATATCATGGTTAAATGTGTAAACATGTCGAGAATGAGATTGTTATACAGTCACTCATTTTCAAATTACTTTAACAAGCAGGTTTACTGCACTGTGCTACAGCAACTGTCCAGTCATGCCTCAAACTGAAAATTATTGACAAGGGGCTACCCCAATTTTATAATATTTTCCTACAATCTCGTACCAGAGTCATGCCCAGCACCTATTAAACTTGCGAACGGGCATACTCTGAGCGCAATACTGACAACTGATTTTCCTACTCATTTTCAATTTCTCGCCTTTATCGTATCCCATAAAATATTTCACCTTCCGTTTATAGTTCCTATAATCGTAGTTTCCATAGTTTGTTACATTACTGTTAATATTAATAGCAAAACTTGGTTGATAGGAATGGAAGTGCGTGGAAAATACAAGGGAAATTCGACGTTTCGAGCGAAGGCTCTTCGTCTGGGATTTAGTAGGCAAACTTCTCGACGAAGAACTAACTTCCCGACGAAAGAACTTCGCTCGATACGTCGAATTTCTCCCTGTATTTTTCAAGTACATCACTGTCGGCCATTTTGTTATATAAGAGTTACCATCTAGCGCAAACATGGCTTCCACAATAGTGAAATATAAAACATGAAACACTGATAGCTGGTTTGGCAAAACAAATCGTTGCGAGAAAGATGTATCAGTTTCCTCTATTCAAAAGAATCCATCCTGTACCATGAGGGTGGTTTAATTTATTTTTTCGTTTATGTTATTGCTTTTATTCTCCAGTATCTGTCGCGAAATCTCGCACATCAATAATTTTTGCATTTGTGAAGTGGTAACACCACATGAATTCTTTCTGGGCGCCATATTTTGATACTCATGTTGTTTGCGAACTGTATCTCTGAATATTCTCATTTTTATGATCAGAAATTGTGCAAGAAGCGAAGTATTATAAAGATTCAATAAAGAAAGACTCGGGAGAACGGTTGGGTGATATTTTTATCAATATTTGACCGTACGAGGAAAAGATCAAAAGCTGAAACCATGTCCAGGAAATGTGAGGTTACAAACAAGGTATTTTCAAAGAAGGGAAATTTGGTGAGACATAAAAGAACACACAGTGAAGACAAACCTTATGAATGTGACGTTTGCAATAAAAGATTTTCTAAGTTAAGCAATTTAACCGTTCATAAGAGAACACACACTGGGGACAAACCTTTTGAATGTGATGTTTGTAACAAAAGATTTTCACACTCAAGTAACTTAGCGGGTCATAAGAGAACACACACTGGAGACAAACCTTATGAATGTGATGTTTGCAACAAAAGATTTTCACAATCAAGTAACTTAGCGGGTCATAAGAGAACACACACTGGAGACAAACCTTATGAATGTGATGTTTGCAACAAAAGATTTTCCCGATCAGACACCTTGGCTTTACATGAAAGAACACACACTGGAAAGAAACCTTATAAATGTGATGTTTGCAACAAAAGATTTTCTGACCCAAGCACCCTAACTAAACATAAAAGAACACACATTGGAGACAAATCTTATGAATGTGATGTTTGCAACAAACAATTTTCACACTCAAGTCAGTTAGCGATTCATAAGAGAACACACACTGGAGACAAACCTTATGAATGTGATGTTTGCAACAAAAGATTTTCACGGTCCGGCCACTTGGCGGTTCATAAGAGAACACACACTGGAGACAAACCTTATGAATGTGATGTTTGCAACAAACGATTTTCACACTCAAGTTATTTAACGGTTCATAAGAGAACACACACTGGCGAGAAACCTTATGAATGTGATGTTTGCAGCAAAAGATTTTCTCACCCAGGCACCCTAACTAAACATAAGAGAACACATACTGGAGAGAAACCTTATGAATGTGATGTTTGCAACAAAAGATTTTCACGGTCGAGCCACCTATCGGTTCATAAGAGACCACACACTGTAGAGAAACCTTATGAATGTGATGTTTGCAAGAAAAGATTTTCACAATCAAGTCACCTAGCGGTTTATAAGAGAACACACACTGGAGAAAAACCTTATGAATGTGATGTTTGCCAGAAAAGAATTTCGCGCTCAAGCGACCTAACTAGGCATAAAAGAACACACACTGGAGAAAAACCTTACCAATGTGACGTTTGCAACACAAGATTTTCAGAATCACACAAGTTAACACAACATAAAATATCAGCACACAAGAGAAATGAGAGCTTGGAGTGCGGTATCTGCCAGAAAACATTCACAAAACGACAAAGTCTCAAACGTCACTGGAAATCACACTTAAGAGATGGCTTATTATTGTGCCACACCTGTGGCAAAGAAATTATTCAAAATCAAGGACATGCTAATGAGATACATGAGAGTGATGATGATTTTGTTTGCAACAAATGCAACATGAAAACATTGTTCGCATGTATTGAAACAAGGATGATAGGGTGGCTGATATATCAAATGCGCACGTCTCTCATCGTGTAGCATATCTCGCAAATTTGGTTCAACATCGTTGCCGTGATGAAAACCACAGTTATCCATTACGAGTACATCATTGATTTTAACAACTGGGTTTTCAAATGCGTTTACTTGCTCAAGAGCTTCTTCAAAAAATTGTAGCAGTTCTAGGCCGTTCGACGGACCCCTCAGAATGTCAAAGTGTGATATTCCATTAACGCTGTGGAGCAAATTTACCGTATAAGTAGCATTTGAGGCATAGCGTTGAACTTCAAATGCAGGCTTGCCAACTGCACTATGCCCTCGATCGAGACCGATTTCCACTTGTCACAACAACGGACGACTCATCAAAGAAATGCAGACGATTGAAGTCAATTGCTGATACTTCTGCTATGTAATTCTGTAACTTTTCCATCACGCCATCCCTTTCTGTTTCAAGAGGTATCACACTAAGTTTTTTGTATGAATATCCGAGGTCACTTTTTAAAATTCTACTTATACATGAATTGCTTGGAACATTTTCTGGGAGGCACACGTTATCTTTTTTTAGCTGTTGTCGAATCTCTTTTGCGTATGTTGAAGGTTTATTAATCTTCGTGTATTCAGTGTACCTGATAACATCATCAGTTCGACATGATAGGGACCTTAAGCAAACGGGACGGCGAAGCGTTTTAGGACGGCTATTCACACAATGATATTCCTGATCTCGTACAAAAGAAATGAATAATTAAAAGTCCCACGGGAGTTAGAGACGTCTTGTTTACAACGCAAACATGTCAAGACGCGACAAGTGAAACTACAAATTTGCTCAGCAGAAGCGTTTTTAACCATAAAGTCTTTGTTTTAATCTCTTCAAACTCAACTCAATTCATATATACATGCAGTGGATAATACACAACAACTCTTCTTCGCAATAATTTATATTATTTGAAGAAGTTTGTTTTGGCTGTCTTCTTAAGGTCCCTACTATGTTAGGTGCGATCAAGTTTGGAAGTTCAAATCGAAGTTCGGAAGTTCATTTCGAAGTTCGGAAGTTCGTTTCGAAGTTCCCGCCCAACTTCCGAATTTCGAAACGTAATTGGGAACTTGGGAACGAACTTCGCAACCGCGTCTTGAAAAGTGAACTGAAATCGACGATAACATTTTTGAAATACTGATATTTATCAAAAGTATCGATATATCGCATCAACCGAGGTGTTGTGTTGTGTTGTGTTGTGTTGTGTTGTGTTGTGTTGTGTTGTGTTGAAACTTGAAACCTCACTTGAAATTTATTTGAAACTGTTTTGAAACAGTTTGAGATTGTTTGAATTGGTTGAATTGTTTAGAGATTATATTGACATAGTAATGCCATAGTAATGCCAATGAGCCAATGTAACTGTTTAATATGATTGATAAGTGATATTGATAATTGACTGTAATGCATTTTGTAACCAAAATCATTTTGTACATATCTGTTCTTTTTGGTTAGAAGTTTGTTAACTGAATAGTGGATTCTTAGTATAATAAGATTTGGTTAGAATTGTAGTACTTTGGTCTTTGACTTTGTAATTCATTTTGTCATTCTCAATTTTATATGCATTTTGAAATTCGATATATCTACAAGCATGCATGGGCGACTCCAGCCGCATCTGCGAGGAGGGGTGCAGGTTTTCCATGGGGTGCTGCACGAGGGAGCCTTACTGCACACTCTCCTCTGCAGTCTGCAATGCTACCATCCCAACATCACCATTATTTGAGATGGTCGAATCTGCATGTTCGCCGTTCCGTTATGTTTTACATTATATTGGCGTGTTTATATCGGCTTTCCCCATGTATCCGTGACTGGACAGTTCCTGTAGCACAGTACAGTAAATCTGTTTGTCAAAGTACAGTATATGGCTGTATAACAACCTTGACATGTTTATTATTTAGCCGTGATATTTAAATATAAACAATCTGAGTATTGTCTCATGGAAGTTCTATTTTAACCGCTATTTGAAAAGCAAGAAATGTATATGGTCAAGCTTAGCAGATTTTTTTAGTTTTTATTCCGCAATCTTTTCTTAGTGATCTTCATGCGAACAATAACCTATCCTACAGTGCAATAAACACTGCTAGGTCTGCGTTATCCTTGGTTATATTTCCTCCTGAGGGCTGTACATTTGGAAACCACTTCCCTAGTGAGTCGACTGCTCAAAGGCGTTATTACAAAAAGACCATCATTGCCACGATATCATTGTGTGTGGGATGTAGGGATCGTGCTAAAGTACTTAAAAACACTATCCATTAGAGGACGTGCACCTCCGGGATCTTACTTTGAAAATAACCATGCATTAATAGCATTGCTCTCTGGTCTACGTTGTCAAACCATTCACGCGCTAGATATCAGTGATATGCAAGTGGTATGTCATCCAAACCGGCAATATGCATGTTTTCCAGATAAACAAGCTATTGAAAACCTCGAGCCCTGGGAAACACTTCAGCCATTTCACGCTACAAGCATATCCAGCGGATGAACAGCTATACATTTTCAAAACTGTTCAAGTCTACTTGGCAAAAACGAACCCCTTAGAGGCAACCACACTCAACTGTTGATAAGCTACCAGCAGCCACATAAGCCGGTGACAACTGGTACCATTGCAAGGTGCCTGGATTGAAAGCAGTCCTGGACAAAGCAGGAATTGACACTAATATTTTCCATGCACATAGTACCAGGGCAGCATCAACATCTGCTGCAAAGACAACAAAATTATCTGTGAACACCATCATGACGGCAGCTGGGTGGACAAATTGCTTTGATATTTAGCATATTCTGTGATAAACCGGTTATTTCAGAATCTATTAAGAACTCTGAAAACTTTGGACATAACTTACAATGTAAATGTAATGGTATCCATTACATGGGGATGTTTTGACATAGGGCAATTTCAGTTGTTAATATTACATTGGGCAATTTCAGTTGTTAATAAAAGTTCCTTGTTTGGTATATTAATAAAGAATTGGTATAGTTTCATGCTAATGGCCATTGCATTCAAATCTCACATGACTTCGTAGCGACGTAGACCAATGGCGAAGTAGATTTAGAAAATTAAACGAGACTTTATACCTTGAAATGGAACATCGATTGAAATTCTGCGAGTCATTGGTCAGGAGCGAAGAAGTCACGCAACCACCCATTCACATTATGGATTAGCATAAACTGCTATCAATAATTACCCTACCCGTAATACAGCAGTTCTTGATGTCTGTTTTCCACTTCTGTTCAATCGTACCGAAACGTAGTGTATTTTTTTGTTTCCTGAGCGGAGTGAGCTGTAGTGTGGAACTAATGAGTTCGATACAGAAGAAAATGCTAAGGTACGTTACGATACGGTTGAAGTGGAAAACGGGCTTACTGGTCATTCAGAAAGTGTCTCATTCTCAAGCGGATCGAATCACCTCCAAATAAACCCAGAAAAGTCACTTACACATTGTGGTAGTGGTAAGCAACTTTATTTCTCAATTTCATAAAATATTTTAGCATTTTTTGACAATATATATTCTGTCATAGTAAACTAATATAAAAATACAAATATACCCCAACAACGACATGTGAGCTTGGGATGACTCAATCTGGTTCCCCGAGCCTGCGATCCTCGGTAAGGAACGCGAGGCCCTGGGACAATCCGTTTCAGGGAGGAATCTGATTGGCCGTTGATATGGAATGCGCAGTTCGGTCTTAGCCAGAATTCCTGGCTTCCGGCAACGGATTATCCCAGAGTCTCGCGTCCTTCGCGAGGATCGCAGGCTCAGGGAACGAGATTGGGATGACTGTGGTTTAATTTTCTAATTTTGTTAGATAAGAATTACCATCTAGGGTAAACATGGCTTCCACAATAGTGAAATGTAAAACATGAAACACTGATTGGTTTGGCAAAACAAATCGCTGCGAAAAAGATGTATCAGTTTTCTTTATTCAAAAGATTCCATCCCGTACCATGATGGTGGGTCAATTTTAATGTTTTTGCTTTTATTCAATTATTCTCCAGATCTGTTGCGAAATCTTGCAGGGAAAAACCCTGGTCTGAAGCAAGGAGTGAGCGAAGGTAATACCCTGGGTACGAGGTTGGGCCTGACCCTGGGGACGAGTAGGCATGTCCCGATTATGCTCATAAAATCCCAAAAGGTTGCTCTCTAAAACAAAGGTTTACTCTCCAAAAAGCATAAAAGTTGCCTAGGGACGAGGTTGCAATCATTTTTGTTTTTGCAAAGTGGAAACACCACGTGGATTATTCTCCTTCATGTTAATGTAGGGAAACTCTTTGTCTCTCCCCTTTCATAATTCTTCCCCTGCAACGTCTATGTTCCTTCTAGAACAAGAAATGCCCCGTTATTCGAAATAAATTACTATAATATCAGTTTTAAATTAGGTAAAATTCAATAATTTTATTGCAAGGAAATTTTTTCAAAAATAAGGAAATTTTGAACGCCTGGAAACAGCTGGGAAATTTGTTGTCGCTGTGTAGAGAAATTGCTGGCGCACGCGATATTTTACAAAATTTCGAAAATTTGAAAAAACAACACAAGTGGAATTTCAACTTATGATTTTGCATTTTTAAGACGGCGATCAAGGAAATTAAATTGTTGGAAAAACTTCACTAACATCTCAAGTATGGAAAGCATCTACATTACCATAAATTTAATTGTGGATTGATTCGGAATTCAGCAGGGGCGGCGCTACAGGGGGGTGTGGGGGGGGGGGTGGAACACCCCCCCACTCGTCAGCTAATCGGCAAATTGTTATCTCAGTCGGCAAAACTGGATTGGCTAAAGATAACCACTGAAGAAACCAAAATTGACCTCCTGAATAATTGAATTCAAACCACAAACCAAAGAAACCACGCATGCAGCAATGCAAATTTTTTACGGTGTAAGGTTTAAAAACTGACGGGTATTGTGTATTGTGTATATACGTTAGATGTTTGAAGATCAAATTTCGCGCGTCTGGAGTTAAAATTTGGCTCCAACTTTCGAATTTTCCGGCTGGAGGTAACGTTCCAGTTATATTCCGATTTCAATGATTCGTAAATTAAATGCGTGATTAATAGTGCTCCAAGACGTGGAACAGATTTTAAGAATTGCCGAGATTTTGACTTTTCGAGGGCTGCAAAATGGATGCCGACAGGAATTTTGGGTTTTCTGATGATGCGTGTCTCAGAATGATGCAAATGCCATTTCCGGGACATGCCAAGACCCTCACTATAGGTTAATGACTCGGCAAAATTACCAAACAACAGTCGGCAAAAGATCACTCACACCCCCACTCGAAGAGGGTTAGCGCCGCCCCTGGAATTCAGGCGATAAAGTTACATAGCTAGGAGTTGGCTTTTGTGCTCCTCGAATATCAGTTTTCATTCGCGGATTACCACAACTTGTTGGTCTCATGGGTGCCAAAATCGCCGATAAACGTAAACTGCTAACCAAGAGCTATAAAACAAATAGCTTCTCAAAAATATAAACTTTATTCAGTCAAAAGGATGAGGGTAAATAAACATGCTACTGCGTGATAGTGATTTCGAAGCAACTTTGTCACATATATTTTAAAAAGTGTGATTATGAATCAAATTTTGCTTTTTGCAATCCCAAAAAGGTATGGAAATTGTTTAAATATTTAAGGTTTCCGTGTTTATAAAGTATTTTTTTGAGAAAAGTAAAAATTTTCCCGATAAAAAAGCATAGTTTCTGCAGAAAACTGTTTTCTAATAGAGAAGATCCTGGGGGAGAGGGTGTAGAAGCGTGGGCAGATAGCAAAAAATCTTGACCATTCCTCCAAAAAATTAATACCAAATTTTGTTTTGCCTTTGTTTGATATGTAATTTAAACAAGTTTTTTTACATCTAAAAATTGCCCCTAGTTGTCAAAACTTGGATTATGTTCGCAGTATTGGCCATTTGTTTACTTTTGGGGATCAAAGTTTGAGGTCCAATTATTTTTAAAGTTTGCAAACTACCCAGCTAATTCTTGGCTGTCGTTTGCAGCCTTGAATGCTGATTAACATTTAGCTTAGTCCACAAAAGTAGCTCCTTTCAATGAAAGGAAATTCAAAATAGTATATTTGATTACTTTTACAGCACAGTCATTACATAGGTCGGGTGCAATACCAGGCCAAATTGCAAAAAAAATTACCGATTCCTCCAAATTTAAAATCATATTTTTTTGCTCCCAAGGCACATAGGAAAGCGAGAGTTTTGTATAGAAATGCTCTGTTTACGGGAAGTTATTTTGCATTCGCAAGTGTCAACAAAACTGCGGCATTTTCACAGTTTGATCAGTTATCATAGCGATAGATAAAAGCTCAGAAAATTCAATTGAAAACATTTTAAACCACCCGTATTTGACTATTTGTATACAATATATGTTCGTTGTATTAACATTGAACGTCTTTCTGTTTGAACCCAAATTTGTACTTGTTTTGCGTTTGTCAAGCTCGCGACGATTGGCTTTTATACCTCAGGCATGACTGCAGATTTAGCGTGTCAAATGTCTTCTTGTTTGTGTCAAGATTATAACATTCTATTGCTGTTCAAACGAGATATTCTATACACTGGAAACGTAGAGTACATTTTACTTTGTCTTTGTCTCAAGCAAAAGAAATTATAAAGATTTAACAGGCATTCAAAAATATACAACAACCACGAACAACTCGTAATATTTCTTCGGGGAAATCTTCAAGTTTCAATGGAAATCTGGCGCATGCGTAACACATTTCCCAGCTGTTACGCCTGGAAGGAAATTATGTTTTTTGAAAATGGAAGCACTGATTATTTTTGGCCATTTGGGCGCCATATTTTGTAGCCTGCGAACAGGCTCTTATTTTGATACTCGTGTTGATTGCAAACTGTGTCTGTGAATATTCTCATTTTTATGATCAGAAATTCTGTAAAAACCGAACCATTATAAAGATTTGGTAAAAGCAGACTCGAGGGAACGGTTGGGTGATATTTATACCGATATTTTACCGTACGGGGAAAAGATCAAAAGCTGAAACCATGTCTAGGAAATACGAGGTTTGTAACAAGTTATTTTCTAAGAAAGGAAATTTGGTGGCACACAAACGAACACACAGTGAAGACAAACCTTACGAATGTGATGTTTGCAATAAAAGATTTTCACAGTCGGCCAGTTTAACCGTTCATAAGAGAACACACACTGGAGAGAAACCTTATGAATGTGATGTTTGCAACAAACAATTTTCACGGTCAAGTACCTTAGTTACCCATAAAAGAACACACACTGGAGAGAAACCTTATGAATGTGATGTTTCAACAAAAGATTTTCGAGGTCTTGCGGCTTAGCTAGACATCTAAGACATGAAAGAACACACACTGGAGAGAAACCTTATGAATGTGATCATGTTTGCCATAAAAGATTTTCGCGGTCAGACTAGCCTGCTCGCAGACGTTGTAGTTCTTACGCCAAGCGACGAAATACTACCGTCTGCTTACCCGAGCTGCATATTCAATTCCCTTTGTTTTAGGAGCCAATCATCTGGCGGTGTTCAAAAAAGTTAGAGCCAATTGGAAGCCGCCTTATTGAGAGATTAGCTACTGGGGAAAGCCCTTGCACAGCATTGGAATATATTGTTTGGGTTGAAACTTGAAATTTGTTTACTTGCGTGGATATATTTTGGAAACTATAGCGTTGAACTTCACGATGTTTACGTAGAATAATATTGTGATCATCTTCTCGCATGTTCAGCAAACAATCGGTGTATATAAAGTGCTAAAGCAATGCAGTAGGCAAAATTTAAATTTTGTTAACAATGACAAACAATCAATCGGGAAACTCGAGTATATCAGGATATGCCCAAATGTTGCTCTTGATACTTCCTATATGCCATAACTTCGACGAAAACTTCTAAAAGATTAAGCTCTCAATGTCATGTAGAAAAGTATAGCCAAGTTAGATTATAAACGTTTCGAAGTTTGGGCGAATTGGAAAATTCGTCACGGCGCAATTTTAATTAATACAAGTTTCTCGGGTTTGTGTTGTGTTTACAGTTTACATTCAGAAGTGGTTGCTCAAACAGCAAATTAGTTTACTTTGAAGCTAATATTTCGCTTTCTAAGCCACAGTATTATATAAAATTTTCTGTCTTCCGAGTTCTGTTGTCTTATAAAGATAAACCGTTAAAATTTCAGCGAAATATATTCGGCATTTGATGCTGTCTGGCTAAGATTCATACAGTATAAATATGCCAATCCTGTCCGAGTTTTAAATATAACCGAATATCTTTAATATCCAAATCTGATCATTAAATGGTGCATTTTATTACCTCGACAAGTATCAGTATCTTTAAATTCAATTTATGTGCAATTTTGATCAAATTTCAACCGACGACTGCTTTCAAAATATATATTTATATTTATTCCGCTCCTAAATCAACTGACGTCACTTTCCAGAATTTGGAAGGTAAATTCTGATTGGTCGACGTAGCGGAATTCAGTTTGGCGCTCGGGTAAGTAGACGGTAGTATTTCGTCGCTTGGCGTAAGAACTACAATGTCTGTGAGCAGGCTACGGTCAGACGGGTTAGCTAGCCATGAAAGAACACATACTGGAGAAAAACCTTATGAATGTGATGTTTCCAAAAAAAGATTTTTGCATCAAAGTAGTTTTGCTAAACACAAAAGAACACATACTGGAGACAGACCTTATGAATATCACATTTGGAACACAAAATTTTCAGAATCACACAGTTTAACACGACATAAAATATCAGCACACATGGTAAAGCAGTGTTTTGAATGCGCTACATGTAAGAAAATATTCACACAACCTAAAAGTCTCAAAGGTCACTGGAGAGTACATTCAAGAGATGGCTTATTATTCTGCAACAGTTGTGGCAGAGAAATTATTCAGTTGCAAGGTTAAGGACATGCTAATGAGATACAGAAGAGTGATGATCATTTTGTCTGTGACAAATGCAACAAAAAGTACCCTGATATTGTAAGTTTATATCAACACAAGGCCGGAGACCATGGTACGTCCTACCAATGTGATGTCTGTAAGGAATTAGAAGCAAGAGAAGCAACTGGTATTGGTTATATCTGTTGTGTCTGTGATGCCGAGTTTGAAATTGCCACTAAACTTGAATATCATATTATTATGCATGACAATGTGGTGCCCCACTAGCAAGGCAAGATAAATTGAAACTATTTTGGGTTTTACTAGGCTGATGCGATATGAAAAAGTCAATATATTGATATCGAACAAAAATATCGACTATATCGAATTATGAAGAAGTTGGAAAACGTAGTTCAGTCAGCCTGCATGTATACCACGTCACACCACTGGGTGGGGCCTGGGTACAAGGTTGCACTGGGTGGATGGATTATAAATAGCCTATTATAATAATAACCCATGGTATTTCATGTAACCGAAAATTTGTATTATTATTTTGTGCAGTTGGTTTTGAAAATAAAAATGTATTTGTTGCCAATGCCAGGGGGTCTCCTGTGGGGGTTCAGGTCCACTGGAGTATGCACCCCACCTAGTGTTGCCTTGCACCCCCGTAGAGAACTCCAGCACCCCAGCCGAAAAATATTTGCTTGTCCACACATATTCTCGTTTTCCTGTAGCGATTAGAGGAACTTCTACTGTTAGCAAGTGTCGATTTCTTGAATATTGATTTGTGAGCTCACTGTTACTCGAGAATGCTTCAGTTAAATATTAATATCATGGTTGAATGTGTAAACATGTCGAGAATGAGATTGTTCACAGTCACATTTTCAAATATACTGTACTTTAACAAGCAAATTTACTGCACTGTGCTACAGCAACTGTCCAGTCACGCCTCAAACTGAAAATTGTTGACAAGGGGCTACCCTAATTTTATAATATTTTCCTACAATCTCGTACATGCCCAACACATAACCTGCGAACGGGCATACTCTGGGTACAAGATTGATTTTCCTACTCATTTTTAATCTCTCTCCTTTATCGTATCCCATAAAATATTTCACCTTCGGTTTATAGTTCCTATAATCGTAGTTTCCATAGTTTGTTACATTACTGTTAATATTAATAGCAAAACTTGGTTGATAGGAATGGAAGTGCGTGGAAAATACAAGGGAAATTCGACGTTTCGAGCGAAGGCTCTTCGTCTGGGATTTAGTAGGCAAACTTCTCGACGAAGAACTAACTTCCCGACGAAAGAACTTCGCTCGATACGTCGAATTTCTCCCTGTATTTTTCAAGTACATCACTGTCGGCCATTTTGTTATATAAGAGTTACCATCTAGCGCAAACATGGCTTCCACAATAGTGAAATATAAAACATGAAACACTGATAGCTGGTTTGGCAAAACAAATCGTTGCGAGAAAGATGTATCAGTTTCCTCTATTCAAAAGAATCCATCCTGTACCATGAGGGTGGTTTAATTTATTTTTTCGTTTATGTTATTGCTTTTATTCTCCAGTATCTGTCGCGAAATCTCGCACATCAATAATTTTTGCATTTGTGAAGTGGTAACACCACATGAATTCTTTCTGGGCGCCATATTTTGATACTCATGTTGTTTGCGAACTGTATCTCTGAATATTCTCATTTTTATGATCAGAAATTGTGCAAGAAGCGAAGTATTATAAAGATTCAATAAAGAAAGACTCGGGAGAACGGTTGGGTGATATTTTTATCAATATTTGACCGTACGAGGAAAAGATCAAAAGCTGAAACCATGTCCAGGAAATGTGAGGTTACAAACAAGGTATTTTCAAAGAAGGGAAATTTGGTGAGACATAAAAGAACACACAGTGAAGACAAACCTTATGAATGTGACGTTTGCAATAAAAGATTTTCTAAGTTAAGCAATTTAACCGTTCATAAGAGAACACACACTGGGGACAAACCTTTTGAATGTGATGTTTGTAACAAAAGATTTTCACACTCAAGTAACTTAGCGGGTCATAAGAGAACACACACTGGAGACAAACCTTATGAATGTGATGTTTGCAACAAAAGATTTTCACAATCAAGTAACTTAGCGGGTCATAAGAGAACACACACTGGAGACAAACCTTATGAATGTGATGTTTGCAACAAAAGATTTTCCCGATCAGACACCTTGGCTTTACATGAAAGAACACACACTGGAAAGAAACCTTATAAATGTGATGTTTGCAACAAAAGATTTTCTGACCCAAGCACCCTAACTAAACATAAAAGAACACACATTGGAGACAAATCTTATGAATGTGATGTTTGCAACAAACAATTTTCACACTCAAGTCAGTTAGCGATTCATAAGAGAACACACACTGGAGACAAACCTTATGAATGTGATGTTTGCAACAAAAGATTTTCACGGTCCGGCCACTTGGCGGTTCATAAGAGAACACACACTGGAGACAAACCTTATGAATGTGATGTTTGCAACAAACGATTTTCACACTCAAGTTATTTAACGGTTCATAAGAGAACACACACTGGCGAGAAACCTTATGAATGTGATGTTTGCAGCAAAAGATTTTCTCACCCAGGCACCCTAACTAAACATAAGAGAACACATACTGGAGAGAAACCTTATGAATGTGATGTTTGCAACAAAAGATTTTCACGGTCGAGCCACCTATCGGTTCATAAGAGACCACACACTGTAGAGAAACCTTATGAATGTGATGTTTGCAAGAAAAGATTTTCACAATCAAGTCACCTAGCGGTTTATAAGAGAACACACACTGGAGAAAAACCTTATGAATGTGATGTTTGCCAGAAAAGAATTTCGCGCTCAAGCGACCTAACTAGGCATAAAAGAACACACACTGGAGAAAAACCTTACCAATGTGACGTTTGCAACACAAGATTTTCAGAATCACACAAGTTAACACAACATAAAATATCAGCACACAAGAGAAATGAGAGCTTGGAGTGCGGTATCTGCCAGAAAACATTCACAAAACGACAAAGTCTCAAACGTCACTGGAAATCACACTTAAGAGATGGCTTATTATTGTGCCACACCTGTGGCAAAGAAATTATTCAAAATCAAGGACATGCTAATGAGATACATGAGAGTGATGATGATTTTGTTTGCAACAAATGCAACAAACGGTTCCCTGATATTGAAAGTTTATATCAACACAAGGCCAGAGACCATGGTATGTCCTACCAATGTGATGTCTGTAAGGAATTAGAAGCAAGAGAAGCAACTGGTATTGGTTATATCTGTTGTGTTTGTGATGCTGAGTTTGAAATTGCCACTGAACTTGAATATCATATGAGAATGCATAACAATGTGCTGCCCCACGAGTAAGACAAGATAAATTGAAACTATTTTGGGTTTTATTAGGATGCTGTGATATGAAAAAATCAATATATTGGTATCGAACAATAATATCGACGATATCGAATTATGAAATTAGAAAACGTAGTCAGTCAGCCTGCATGTATACCACGTCACACCATTTGTGTTATTATATTGTGTAGTTGGTTTTGAAAATAAAAAAGTATTTTTTGCCAATGCTAGGGCGTTGCGTGTGGGGGTTTATGGCCCACTGGGGTATGCACCCCACGTAGTGCTGTCTTGCACACCCGTAGAGAAGTCCAGCACCCCACCGAAAAATATTTGCTTGATCATTCATCTTCTGGTTTTCGAATAGCTATTAGAGGGACTTCCACTGTTAGCGGGTGTCGATTTCTTGAATATTGATTTGTGAGCTCACTAGAAAATACTCGAGAATGCTTGAGTTAAATATTAATATCATGGTTAAATGTGTAAACATGTCGAGAATGAGATTGTTATACAGTCACTCATTTTCAAATTACTTTAACAAGCAGGTTTACTGCACTGTGCTACAGCAACTGTCCAGTCATGCCTCAAACTGAAAATTATTGACAAGGGGCTACCCCAATTTTATAATATTTTCCTACAATCTCGTACCAGAGTCATGCCCAGCACCTATTAAACTTGCGAACGGGCATACTCTGAGCGCAATACTGACAACTGATTTTCCTACTCATTTTCAATTTCTCGCTTTTATCGTATCCCATAAAATATTTCACCTTCCGTTTATAGTTACTATAATCGTAGTTTCCATAGTTTGTTACGTTACTGATTTACTGTCAATAATAGCAAAACTTGGTTGATAGGAATGGAAGTGCGTGGAAAATACAAGGTATCGGAAATTAGATAGAAAAAAATAGATAGAAAACTTTATTTATCCGCGCTAACCCTGCAACCGAGGCTGATTTCCACAGGGGGCGTGTAAAAAGGAATTACAAAAATATAGTATTTAAAGCTATTTACAATCTATAATATCAACTAAGTTATATAAACTTGCAGAGAGAAAATAGACTTGCAAAGCAAAGAGAGAAAAGACAACAAGAGTCTGTTGCAGAGAGGGAAACTAGACTTAAACAGCAGCGAGAAACAAAAAGGTTGAAAAGGCAAAATGAGACTGTCGAACAAAGAAAACAAAGATTGGCAAAAGCACAATTAGTTAATTATAAAGCAAATAAAAGTAGATGTTCTGGAAAAAACAAACCATGTCCCCCATCAGGTTCTCAAAAGCATCACAGTAATGATAACAGTGTATCACACAATAGTGTATCACAATTGATATATAAATTCCATAAATCTGTATCAACAGGTCCTCTGTATATTTGTTCGCGCTGTGATCAATTATGGTATAAACATACTGTTTGTCCAGCCGAGAGACTTCGATTGTCCAATCCAAATTCTACTAAACATCTACAAGGTACTAATTAAAAGTGTAGATGATATTGAATGGCTGTGTTTGACATGTGACAAACATCTTAAAAAGAATAAAGTGCCACCATCTGCAATTTCAAATGGCTTGAAGTTTCCAGAAAAACCTTTGATTTAAATGAATTAGAATGCAGACTTATAGCTCCAAGATTGGCATTCCAAAAAATAATGCAAGCCCCCATGGGAGGGCAACTTAAAATACTGGTAATGTTGTGAATGTTCCAGCAGATATATGTAATACTGTTAACATGCTATCCAGGTTACCACAAGATACTGGGACTATTAAAGTTCAATTGAAACGTCGACTGCAATACAAGAGTTCTGCCTTGTCTTAGAATGTGAGACCTAATAAAGTGATGCAAGCTACAGCTTGTTTGGTAAATACTAGTGAACTATATCGAGAACAAGGAATAACTTTTGATCAGCATTGGTTATCATACTTTGATGTTACAACACCTAATAGTGACAATGAAAATACTAAAGTTGATCAAACTAATTTGACATCTTCAGAAGATGAATGGAGTGAAGATGAAGCAGAAATTCCTGCAGGTGTAATAGACAGTATGCTTACACCTACTGATTTTGTAGATGATACTGAAAGACAACATATATATACAGTGTTGCACCTGGTGAAGGTAGTAGACCACTCAGTATATTTAGAGATCAGTATTCAGAGGAACTAGCTTATCCAGGAATATTCTTAGGTCAAAAGCGGCCTGATGAGAAGCAAAGATTGACCCATGTTTATTACAGTGAAATATGTAAATCAGAACTTAACGAAGAGCTGGAATGTGTATTGAGAACATTTTTTTTAAAACTAAAAAATGCAGATGAAATTATTGCTCGGGCAATCGCAGCTTGCTACTCGCAAGTGTAAATTGGGAAACAGAACACTTACTGCTGGTGATTTGAAAACACCAGAAGGTTTAACAAATCTCATTTTCCAGGATGAAGGATACAAATTTTTAAGAGCTTTGAGAGGTCCCCACCTTACTTTGAAAAAGCAAAAAAGGATTTGTTTGCTATGATTCGGCAGTTAGGACCTGCATCATTATTTTGTAGTTTTTCGTCTGCTGAAACAAAATGGAAACATTTACTAAGAATCCTTGGTAAGCTTGTTGATCACAAAGACTATAGTGATGAACAATTAGATAATTTAAACTGGGATGAAAAGTGTAGACTAATTCAAAGTGACCCAGTAACTTGTGCAAGGCATTTTGATTACCAATTTAATACTTTCTTGAAAAATTTTTTAATGAGTGAAATTGCCCCATTAGGGAATCTGAAAGATTGGTTTTACAAGGTTGAATACCAACAGAGAGGCTCGCCTCACATCTATATAGTCATATGGCTTGAAAATGCACCTGTATTTGGTGTTGATAAAGATGAAGATGTAGTGAATTTCATTGATCAAATAATAACTTGTAGAAAGCCTGATAATGACACTGAATTATAGACATTCTCACACATGCCGAAAATTTGTAGATTTAATTATCCTCAGCCACCCGTGAGATCAACACAGATACTACTTTATCTGATTGATGACAATGCTTCTGAAACTGTCATAAGAGCCGGAAAATATTAAGAATAAACTAAATGACTTAAAAGATGGAGAAGACGTAACATTTGATCACCTTCTAAAAGAACTAGATGTTTCAGAATATCAATATATTCTTGCAATTCGATCATCACTAAATTGTCCAACAATATTTCAAAAAGAAGTCCCAATAAATTAAGGATTCATAATTATAATCCTGCTTGCCTCCAAGCATGAAGAGCTAACATGGACATTCAATTTGTACTGGATGTATATGCCTGTGCAATGTACATTGCTTCGCATATTTCTAAGGCTCAAAAAGGAATGAGTGACTTGTTACATAACGCATGTGCTGAAGCTAAGGAAGGTAATTCCATTCGTGACATTGGCAACAAGTTTTTAAACTCTGTTGAAATAAGTGCACAAGAAGCAGTGTTGTGAACTGATGATGTAATGAAATTTCTTCTACAAAATTGCCTTTAAACAACAGGGAGTGTCACCCCCTTCCTGCCCCCAGAAAAAACCCCGCAGGATTTACTACGTACTAGCCTGAAAATAATGGCTTTGACTCCAATCGTCTACATATATTTCAAGCAGTTTATTTCAAGAAGTTGCGTCAAGGACCACGTTGTAAAATCCTCAAGAAAGATTTTATGCTTTCGGTTGTTCTTGACCACTTACTTCATTAATTCCCGAACATACCTTTTTGCATAAATTCTTAATGTGAATATCAAATATCAATCTATTGTCAAGGTCAACTCCTAGACACTTTTGGGAGTTACTTCATTGCCTGTAGCACTCAATTATGTGCGGATCCTATCAGCATGAACTTTGGCTTTTTTGCATGTGACTGGAATTTATTTACGATCAACCAGTCCATTATATCAACTAAGTCAGGATTTAATTTATCGATATGATCTTCAGTATCGTGAGAAGAACAGTGGCGTAGTCAGAACGATAGTTGGAGGGGGGCCATATTCATATATTCGTGTTCACATACCATAAAAACAATTGATTTCAAAAGAAATATATTAATAAAGCAGAAGACGAATATATGAATATTAGTCTAGGACCTGTATATGAGTTTGTATGCGATTTATTTAGGACAGGTAATCTCAACTGTTTTAGGGTAAAATGACCATGGCGGTCAACATGGCATATGTGCGAAAACCTGAATCCGGGACGAAAGTCCTGAAAATGACCCCGCCCTGAAACGGCAGTGTCGACATAGCTCTAACTTCCAAAAAGGAAAAGCGATAGCCTTTCTGAAGTGCTTATAGTGTTTAGAAGGGTTGCTTTTAGGGGTGGTCATTGGAAGGAAAAAATTGTCGAAGTATAATATTTTACCAGAAAATGACTATGCACCACCCCAGGTAAATTGCTGATTATGCACAAAATAACTAATATGCCTGGCAGAAATTAAATATTCTTATTTCCTAAAAAAAATTATCATGGGGTGAAAAACTATGCTTAATTTAATATAAATATTGTTGATTTCATAAGGATTATCATTGTTTTCTTTAAATATAATACATTTTATTTCACTTACCCCCCACGAAAACACGATTTCAGCCATATTTTGCCGTCTTGTTTGCTTTTTATCGCCGAATCTCGCAAATATCATCCAGTTATTGTACTTTTGCATAATCATAAATGGCTGAAGAAGATTTCAAAGAAGGTTTCATCCACTTTTGTAACAGTGCAGTGTATTTTACCTTCGATAGTGTGTCCTTCGATATTCCGCCAAATTGCCGCCATTTTAATGGCTCGCCGCTTCTTTGTCTGATAAATACAACTTCTTCGTTTCCATATGTATTTAGATTACAGTATCCAAGAGTACTTCATTGTAGAATAGTCCCAATCCAAAAATTGGCAATATTTGTCCCATTAGGAAGGAAAAATCCTCCCGTATACCATTTAGGTTCAAAATAAAAAACAAATCATTTGAAAGTCACGCGCAATCTTCGGGAAAACTTCTTGTGGACAGATGACAGGGGGGGTTGAATACTTTCACGAATATGTTCGCCACCACAGAAACATAACTAAATATATTGTATTTATTGTATTTTTATGATTTATAATAAAAACAATAAATATTTGCCTAGTTTTGTCATAAATCATAAAAATACAAAAAATACAATATATTTAGTTATGTTTCTGTGGTGGCGAACATATTCGTGAAAATATTCAACCCCCCTGTCATGTGTCCACGAGAAGTTTTCCCGAAGATTGCGCGTGACTTTCAAATGATTTGTTTTTTTATTTTGAACCTAAATGGTATACGGGAGGATTTTTCCTTCCTAATGGGACAAATATTGCCAATTTTTGGATTGGGACTATTCTACAATGAAGTACTCTTGGATACTGTAATCTAAATACATATGGAAACGAAAAAGTTGCATTTATCAGACAAAGAAGCGGCGAGCCTTTAAAATGGCGGCAATTTGGCGTAATATCGAAGGACACAATATCGAAGGTAAAATACACTGCACTGTTACAAAAGTGGATGAAACCTTCTTTGAAATCTTCTTCAGCCATTTATGATTATGTAAAAGTACAATAACTGGATGATATTTGCGAGATTCGGCGATAAAAAGCAAACAAGACGGTAGAATATGGCTGAAATCGTGTTTTCGTGGGGGGTAAGTGAAATAAAATGTATTATATTTAAAGAAAACAATGACAATCCTTATGAAATCAACAATATTTATATTAAATTAAGCATAGTTTTTCACCCCATGATAATTTTTTTTAGGAAATAAGAATATTTAATTTCTGCCAGGCATATTAGTTATTTTGTGCATAATCAGCAATTTACCTGGGGTGGTGCATAGTCATTTTCTGGTAAAATATTATACTTCGACAAATTTTTCCTTCCAATGACCACCCCTAAAAGCAACCCTTCTAAACACTATAAGCACTTCAGAAAGGCTATCGCTTTTCCTTTTTGGAAGTTAGAGCTATGTCGACACTGCCGTTTCAGGGCGTGGTCATTTTCAGGACTTTCGTCCCGGATTCAGGTTTTCGCACATATGCCATGTTGAACGCCATGGTCATTTTACCCTAAAACCGTTGAGATTACCTGTCCTAAATGAATCGCATACAAACTCATATACAGGTCCTAGACTATATACAATCAGGCCCTGTTTACACTATACCAGATTCGCTGGTCACGACATCTTCTTTTGCCGTTACGGAGCAATGGTTAGTAGCAAATGCTTAATAGTTTGATAGAATTGTCATGTTTATTTGGGTCTCTGAGATTAAAAATCTTCACAGCCTTTCGATACCTACAAAATTTGACCCACTCCGATAGCAATCCGGTATAGTGTAAACGGGGCCTCAGTAACAACACGCGAATTGCTATAAATAGCAACGTTACAGTCTAGTAATGATATGATGATTTGTTGTGCTTTTGTTGTAAGTAGGCCTATCACTAAAATATATTGAAAATCCTTCTAAACGATTCTTTATAATGTATACAAAGCATATACATTGATATCGAAACACAAAATTCAAAGTTTTGAACAATTTGAGCTTCATGACTCTGGTATAGACGTATGGGCTTAATGATTTAATTGTGTTACATTCCACTGAAAATCACCAAAATGACCTTTTTTAAAAGTCTCGCGTGAGGCTCCAGGGCAATAACCCAAGCTAGTTTTTATATATAACATGTACTCATGCTATACCATTCCGTGGATGAAATATAAACAAATTCACGATTATCGCACATAGCAAATTTCCCCTTCAAATCCAGTGACAAAATGCAATTGCAAAATTTGACTAAAAATAGCCAATTTCAACAACGTCTGTCAGGCCAGTTAAAGCCTCCTGGGCCATTCCATATTGATAAAATTGTTCTTTAATACTTGAATTATAGTCATTATACCATCAAAACTATCTATGGGCAGTTTTGAACCCGTCGCGAAGTGATGAAACTGACCATGGCAGCGGCTTTGTCTGCGGCTAATTATAGCCTCCTGGAGACAAATTCTTGATTTCTGATATTTGTACGTTTATCGACCAAATATTGAAAATCTAACTCAAACACCATTTATAACTAGATATTACCTTAATTTGAGCAAAATATGAACGAAATCTATTTTTCGTGTATTGCCGCAGAATTCAAATTTTGCTCGATTTTTACGGACAGTCGCTCTTAAGTATTTACAATTATTATATATTTTCACAGCTAATATATAACTCACCCCAGCTAAATTTAATAATCATAATAATGTTATAAAAGAATAAAATGTCTATATTGATCGCCAGTTCTCTTGTTTTTACATTTTATTTACACAAATTGGCCTCAATTATTCCTATATTTACATAAAGCAGGACAGCTAGAGCAATTAAAGCCCTGGTTAGTAGTGGTTTGTTAGTGATCGTTGCTATGGCTATAGGCTATTTATAATGCTAAATAGTAACTGTGCATTTTATAATACTCTATTATTAAGATTATCCAACCAAGAAACAAAACATTTTCTTCAACGTTTCGAGCAAAGCCCCTTTGTCAAGAAATTATGCACGGCTACTATTTGCATTGCTTAATAAATAAACCTGTATTAACACTGTCACCCCACTGCTATAAAATACAAAAGAACAGTAACTCCAAATAACATTTTGTAGCTCAGTTTAATGAATCTAGACAATCTACGTTTCGACTATATTTAAAATATAGTCGAAACGTAGATTCATTAAAGCTACAAAATGTTATTTGGAGTTACTCTTCTTTTGTATTTTATAAAAATACTCAGTGGTTCCCGTAACCACTGCTATAGTGAATATAATTTAATTCTATTTTTCCTTAAATTTGTTCAACAAAGCTTTAGCATACTTTAGCTTCTTGACAAGAAGCTTTGCATCTTGACATGAGGCAATGTCATCTTGAGTAGCAACTTTGCAGTTATGCTGGATAAAAAAATCTCTCTTCCATTGACTGAACTGAGCTTTATAATGCCGCTGTTGTTTAGATACCTTTATCAGATACCTTGCTTCATGTGATCTTTGGCATAGTCTGTGTCATTTGGTGACTGCTTGTGGCGTTGCCTGGCATTGTCAAACCAAACGACCTCTGCCGTTCTTCCCAAAACAAATTTCAGAAACCTCCCAATCCTTGTGATGCACGAACCATTCCTATCCATGTCTGTAGTCTGGTCTGGTTGATTATCGTTTGTGATTACTGATGTGTCTTGTCGAGGCACATAATCTATTGGAACAGAAACAACATTCTCTTGTTGATTTTTTTCATTATTGCAGACATTGTCATCAAGTGTATCCAGTGGTAATTCTGATACATTATCAGGGACCAATTCAAATGTTAGAATGTTCTCTTCTGTTGTTTTTGTAGCAACAGATGCTTGTATTTCATGTTCTGCTATTGTACTGTCCATGAATTCAGGATTGTGTTGTTCTGGCTCAAGGTTATAACCACTTTCCATTTCCAATCTGTTCACAGATGAATGCTGTACCACATTCATGTTTCCATGCTCATCTTCAATTCTTAACACTTTTATAGGTAGTGTCACACGAAACCGTAAACATTTCTCCCAACATTCTTCAAGGTATTTCTCTTCGCTTTTGAAATTACTTGATCGAAAGTGATGAAGTGAAGGACCTTCAGAATGATTATCTGGGGGCTGCTCGCCATCGTAAAATTTGATGTCACCATTCTCGTGCTCCATCCACCAGCTTCCCTTTCCAGTCAACAGAAAATCACTTACTCTCTCGAGGTGGGCTTGCCAAGATCGGGTGTGCTTCTCTATGATCTCATATGGAATAAATTGTATTTCCATATGGTGGAAGTGGAGATGCAAACTTAGAAACAGTTGCTTCTTGCTTGGAGATACACAAACTTTGAAAAGCTGCCATCTGTTTCTCAGCCTGCAGTCTGACAAAGATGTTACCAATGATGTGACTGGGGTGAAAAGAAGATGTTGCCTTGGTGATGTTAGTAATTCCCGTACCGAAAATCATGGCGTGACATGAGCGATAATCGGGCCATAAAATTGAGCGAGACATGAGCGATAATGAGCGTGACGATACACAGCGATATACACGGCGTGTGGTACCCGGACATTTTGCCGAACGGACATTTTGCCGACGGTCATTTTGTCTAACGGACATTTTGCCGAACGGACATTTTACCGAACGGACAGTTTCCCGAAAGGACAATTTGCCGAAAGGACAACTTGCCGAAAATAAAGATGTTATTTCGTCAAAATGTTTGGGACTGTGACTCATTTCTCAACTGTGTAATTCTCAACCATTGTGTAAAATAACCATTATATGGTCATTAGCAGTGCATAATGGTCATTAGCAGTGTATAATGGTCGTTAGTAGTGCATAACCATATTGACTATTGGTAGTTGTTTGTGCAGCGGATGACTCATTTGTTAGGAACGTGTTTTGACGTCAGATCGTAAACCAACAAGCGTATATAAAGACGACGTAAGCGAATTTCATTTCGAGAATCATTGAATGATGTTATTCTTTATATCGCGAATTTTCGGTAAACTTGTCAAAACTTGAAAGAATATAAACGAAACTATACTTCACTATCAAAGTTTCTGTCATCAAAATCAACAATTAATGACTTTAATCACAGAAACTTTGACCGTGTAAGCGAACGTTTAAAGTTCAGAAGATATCTGTATTTTCGGCAAAATGTCCGTTCGTCAAATTGTCCGTTCGGAAAAATGTCCATTCGGCAAAATGTCCGTTCGGCAAAACGTCCGTTCGGCAAAACGTCTGTCGGCAAAATGTCCGTTCGGCAAAATGTCTTTCGGCAAAATATCTTTCGGCAAAGTGTCTTTCGGCAAAATATCCGGCCACCATAACCTTGCTTTCTTTTTTATTTAAAAAAATTCAAAATAATAAAAAAGGGAATCAATATTAAAGATACATTGAATTGGGGCCCAATATGCTGTCTTGTTTAGTTGTTTCATATACGCAAAGGCCGTCGGGTTTTAAAGCAATTATAAAATCAACATTAAAAACAAACTTACCTTCGTTAACGTCGGCTCCCTTCTTTTAGCCGATTCTTTCGCCATTTCTTTCTTGAAATTTACAAAATCTTGCAAAAATGCGAGCAAAAATGAAATATATTTGCAGGAAATTCATCAATCATCAAATAAAGAAATGTTTTCTATTTCGCTGTCGTCATGCAGTCGTTATAATGCAAACTCTAAATTGGACCAATCACAGTGTTTGCTATTCATGACAGTCCGCCATATTTTTGAGATCAGTGAGGATGACCATCCACGCACAGTGACCCACGCCCGCGATATTTGATGAACTTTAGACTTCCCTAATGCTTTCGTTTCCCCGGGTGTAAATAGCCGGGGGGAATTAGTACCCTCGCACGGCGCTTCGCGCCGCCGGCTCGGGGATAAAAAAAATAAAAAAAATGCTTCGTAATTGGTTTGGATTAGTTCAGAGGACATAGTGGGGCTAAAATCGCCAGCAAATTAACTCCAATTGAACTACTGTATCTGGGGAGAACTGGCGAGCTGCTTATCACCATGTGATAATGTTATCGGTGCTGAAGCCCCCCAGTTCGAATTCACTTTAGGAGTACGTCAATCGTTGACCGGCAATGCCGCTAAATTTTTTCACTCTGCCTTTCATGCAGCAATCTCGAAACTTCATTTTGCTGTTTTAATTTGATCCTTTCTTTTTTATTGAGGGGGCTTGCCTTTACAATCTTCCTTTTCCTAAACTGCCAGGGTCACCAGTGACAATCAGTGTCACCACTTTTAGCGCGCGTCACATCCTGTGAATATGAGATGAGATATATTCACCACGCGAAACACGCTTTTAAACGCGCGTCCCAAAGCTAGTGATACTTAAAAAACAATATCGCGATTATCGTCTAGAATGTTATTTTACAATATTCGTAATATTCGGATTTCAGTTAAAAAGCTACGTACCATACAAAACAATATCACGATAAAAAAATTTACGCGCCAACTGAACGAAGATAATTTTAAGTTACAGTATGTACCACAACACGCGGAACCTGTCAGCCGAACGTTTAGATGAATGGATTTCAGATTTTCAAGATGTCAATAAAGTTAATTTGAAGGCGAACGTTAAAAAGGAACCTAGCAAACGATACTGGATACAAAATAACTACAGATGTCGACGTCAGCCCAAGACGCGCGTTGAAATGCATATTTCGCGTTGTGAACATCTCATTTTATATTCACCGGATGTGGCAACACCGATTGTTACTAGTGACCCTGGCAGTTTACGAAACGGAAAATTGGCTCGCCTTCCCCAATGCCCACTTTTATTTCTGCTAGCTATTGCCGACCTAGTCCCCATGTTGCGCCGCCCATGTCATTTTGTACAATATATATTTTTAAATCTTAAAAAGTCAGTATTTCTAAGTAGAAGCCTGGCATAGGTAGAATGTCTGAATGTATTCATTACAGTGTCACGAAGTCATATTTTACCGCTTTAATTAAGCGAAGAAAACTTTGCGATCAAATTTTGTACATGACCTTCGCAGCCGATATTGAAGGCGACATCATCTTGGACTATTTCGTCACCTAAATCGTCTGTCGAACTGGAATTTTCTTCTTTTACTCTGTCATCATATACTTCCACTGGATTCTTCTCAGTGTTTCTGGTCTCTTGCTCATTCATCATGCCATTTTCTTTTGCTTCTCCAGCAAATTCTTCATTCGTATTATATTGCGTTGAAACAGCACGGATATCATCGCCACTAATATTGGAAGATGCATTGACTGTGTTGTGACTAAAATCATAAAAGGTGAGAAAAATATTCCCTTCTAATGTAACTGTAAACAATACGCAATTTGATTGGCTAATGCCCGTGAATTATTACGCAATAACGCTCTGTAGTCTGTGGCAGTGCATTGGTCGTCCTGGTGGTACGGTTTCCCGGCTTTATCTCCCTTTTTTAGCCAAAATATAAACAAATTATCAAGTTTTTAATTTTGAAATGAAAATTTGTACCGAATAGACCGATGTCAACGAGAAAAGTAATTTTAGGCTATCGTGTAAAATTAACCACGCGTAAAGGAAATCTCTTTACATGTTTAGGGCAAAAGCAAAAATATATGCAGAAATGTATCGTGTAAACCTTGAAAAAGATGATGGAATGCCAAAAAACATGGGTTAATGCCGAACACTGTGTTCGGTCGGTTTAGATGGCATATTCTGCATATGCAACGTTCAGACCTTTAACACTAGCCCGCGTGCAGGCCCACCGAGGGAAGAATAGTGGGCCTGCAAGGAAGACCGGGTGTTTTACAAAATGCCCTTTTTCATAATACGTCAAATGCCAAAAAAGAACCAATGACAGTAACCCAAATAGTGACAAACAAACTCGCATTAAAATGTTGCGGGGTTTTCCCTGCTTATTCAGAATAGAAACAATGTGTAAATGGCTGCGTTTTAACTCAAAAAGCAAGCAAACAGTCAGTAATTTCCAAATTTGCAAGTGCTCATTTTCAACTAAAATCGGAACAGGAAATTTATGACGAATTTCAACAGAAAACCTGCTCAAACTTCAAATTGCGAGGGAAGTTGTGCGACCACATTAGCATTAATGTGTGCTTCTGTCGCCATTGTTATAAATACATTGTCTCACTTATCAGATGGTGTGTGCAATTCTTGTTGGTGACAGAAAGTACGAAATGTATTTCAGTTATTTCATTTGGTAACGAACTCCACAAAAGAAGAGAACGTTCAGAGTCCAGATCGTTTCGTTTCAAACGGCAATTAGCATCTTCTGTTTCTCCCTCTCAGAGAAGTCCTGCAAAAATCGCAAAGTGTTTCGAATAGGCTTGCATGCAACTGCCTCTAAATCTTCACCGCGAAAAGAGCCGTTTTCTTCAGTGCAAGAACAGAGTCAACATCAACCAACAGATAATTTTCTTGAGGAACACATAAACGTATCAAATCTGTTTGAAATTAATGAAACTCAAGTAAAGGTTACTATAGTTTACCCCAGTGGTAATGTTGCTTTTCCAACACTTCACGACAAGCAATCCCCGTTGGCATAACGGCAAAAACATCTCTTCCTTCAAGTAAACAATCAAGTCAGTAAACAGTCCGTTCTTGTTCCATTTTTTATCGAAAAAATTGATCAGATCCAATTGTAAGCTTATCAAGACCGTCTGTGATGAATCACTGATCTAATTACAGAATCCAACAGCAAACAACCAATCAGAATGCTGCGTTCGTGGGCGAACACAGAAAGTACAAAATACCGGGTCTTCCTTGCAGGCCCACTATTCTTCCCTCGGTTGGCCTGCACGCGGGCCACTTTAGCACAAAATTAATGATCTCATCGGAACGAGAAGTAGCCGAGTCTTTCAGGCGCTTCTCGCATATTCTCCCAATATTCACCGAGTGCATAATTTAACAAATATAAAACATTTTCCGTGTTGATATACAGTTATATCAACACGAGTGGAAATTGGGAAAACGAGAAATTGTGTGGAAACACGACGCCCGAAGGGGGGAGTGTTTTCACACAATTTCGAATTTTCCCAATTTTCACGAGTGTTGATATAACTGTATATCAATACGGAAAAAATTTTTTATATTTGTTTTCTAATATAGCATAAAGAAATATAAAGAAAGAAATTTTCCGACGTTTCCGTGTTGACATTGAATTATATCAACACGGCTCTTAGCCAATCAGCATTCAGAATTTACAGATGCTATATAATAATAATAATTATTACACCCAAACGCACAGGACGCGTTTTTCTTTAATAATATAAGTAGCTAAAAGTGAGTACATGATATACAATTCTGTCAAAATATCGATTTTGAAATTCTCCTCAATGAAATACAAAATTTTGATATTAAATTAAAAGTCGAGACAGGCTTTTTAAAATGCTAGAAATAAAAACGCTGATACGCAATATAATTTGCCAGTGTTTCAGCATCTGCAAGCCAGATGGATTTACGAAGAAAGCTGTGAAATTCAGGGTTCTCTGTTGGGTTGCTCAGTTTTATTTTTTTAATTATTCAGTGTAGTAATACGTTTTTCGCCAAAATATATATAGTATAGCAGTTTTCGTCAGAAGCATTGAAGGTAGATTCTAAATCATATTCCCTTAGATTTTGCAGCCTTTTTCTACAGCCGATCAAACTGACCGCAGCTTATGCATATATACCGTCATTCCTCGTTAAAAGTTTCCTGCAGAGTTGGCGACGTCGAGATAAAATTCCAATAAATGTGTTTTATAATTTATTATCTATCAAGTGTCAAAGTTCATGCATGTTTTCTTGCATCTGATTGGAAAGAAAACGAGTCGCGTGCGTTTATGTGGTGATAATACACGAGGGGAATGTTTGGAGAACACGAGGGAAGCGTTTTGGTAACAAATGCAATTAAAGTAATTTTTATGAAGGAAAATGGGTGACGTAAAGTGCTATGTTGCATCTTTAAGATTAATTACCTTGTAGAAACATCTTGTGTGGAAACGATAGCTTTTGTATCTTCTGGAACTGGCTCCTGAGGAAAATTATATGGTTAAATTACAAAATTTCAAGAACTGAAATTCGAACATGCCCCATGCCCTTTTAAGTAAAATTGATTATTACAATATAAGGAAATGTTAGAGTTTGTTTCGCCGACAAAAGTTTCAGCCAAATGCATTGTTTTTTTTATCTGCATGAATGTGGTCCATATTTATTCGGAGAATATTTAACAATTGTGCCCTTTAACTACTGTACGTTTTCAAATTGTTTAGAATTTTTTGCATTACTTTCAGGATCAGTGTTCCATTTGATTTTTCAGATCATAAAAAGCTATATGGAAGCAAACAATAGGGCCACTTATACGGGACAAATAAGTCGCTGCTTACATAAGACGCAACTAAATTAAGACGCGAGTTTGTTGCCGGTATATAAGGCATACTGTCGCGGTTTGGGGTTATTAATCTATAAACTTCCTATAATGTCGACAGTTTATGTTTAAAAAAGGTTGTGCTATAATGGTTTATTTTTTCCCCCAAAATAAGAATCTGAAAATGCAGATTATAGAGCGGTTCTCGAGCCTCACTTACATATAGATCGTCATCCTCGCCATTCTGGTCACTGTATCAGAAGTAATATAAGAAAAAGTTCAACAGTTAAAAATGTTATGAAAAAAATGACTGACGGAAAATGCCACATGTTGATCAAGAAGATATGTTACTGTATATTCAGTTTAATTTTCCAGGATATGTAATAGCTGTGGCACTTGTCGGAACATTCATTTTTTGTTCAGGGACAAAACAGAAACATGCACGGCAAAAGGAACGTAGAAGTAGTTTATATATATAAGTTAAAATACCTTGGTCTTGGAGGAACATTAAATATGGGAATGTCAGGATTTGCATCGTCCGGGTGTAACTCCTTAAAAAGTAAGTTTTTAAACATTCTGAACTGAAATTCGAACATATCTAAAATAAGTGTGTTTGCAATTAATTTAAGTATGGGAAGTTTCAAAGCTCCTTTCGATAAAAGTGTTAGCCAAATTAATTGGCTTCCCTCAATCTGCATTAAAATGCTCCGTATTTGGTAAAAAAATATTTGACATTCATGCGCTACTAAAGCGAAAATCGTACATATATATTTCAATTTTTCGGGGATTTATTTAGTATTCAACCTTCAGTGTAATTATTGGATTTTATTTTTTTTACGTATTGGATAAACACCGAGAAGAAGGGATTTATGTCAGATAATGACATGAGCTTTTCCAACAAAGTTTTGTCTGTTTCGTCTGCTTTGAACGATTAGTTATGAGTTTTCCTCCATCTTTTCAGCTGATGAATATTCAAGCTGATTATTAAAAATAATCACCTCGGTTACATCAAAGAACACGGACTGCAGAATTATGAATTAAATCAGTATATGGATACTAACGCTTATCTGGTAGCACTTCTTGTTTCAACTGGTCCTATATACTTCTGAGAAAATTTCAAGTAAGCGAATTATGGGAAAGCTTTTGATATTTAAAATAAAGCGCCTAATCTTTTGGATAGCATGTGATCTGCAATACATATCCGGTATTTACGTAACTGTGCCATAAGGCAACATATAACTGCTAGTGGTATGGAGTTACCATTCTAAACTCTACTAATATCTAGAAGGAAACGTTTGGTACGAAATGGTGGCACCATAATTTCTCATGAATAAGAATCTGAAGATCTACTTTCCTAGGTGTGATTCGCCAATTACAAGATTTTCCTCTACATGTTAGATCACTTTGTAACTTCTTGCGGAATCTTGCACTTTGTGTAATACAATCATGCGCTTTGTCTACTGCACTATATGGACTAAATTCGATTTTATCAGCGTTTCATAAATAGTGCAGAGGAATTACAATATAATTTTCTACTTTCACTTACATATGGATTCTCTTCTTCGCCAACGTCCCGTACATATTGGCCACTATATAAGGAGCAATTCAAGATAAAATGCAACAATAAAATGTAATGATGAAAAATGGGTGACGGAAAATGCTATGTTGGTTAAGTAGAATTCTGGTTAATAAAAATACCCAGGATCAGTACAATGGCTCCTTTCCGAATATGGTGTTCAGAACAATTATGGGAACATTTTTTATGTTTGTTGGTGTTATGTACTCAGATGAATAGGATGTCTGTGCATGGTGTTACTCTGAGTGTGTATCCACACCGGGCAAGCTGAAAAGTTTGCCTTACCACGGTGGGAATCAAACCTGAAACTGAGCTACGAGTTCAAGTCGGTTCGAGTTGGTGATATTTCTGAACTGAGTTTAGTTTCTTCGATATCAATGTATTCTAGAATATGATATTTTTGTGTTTGTTGGTGTCCTGGTGTTATGTACTCAGGCGAATATGATGTTTGTAGTGCATGTTGCTCTGAAAGTGCATGCATCCACACCGGGCAAGCTCAAATGTTTGCCTGACTACAGTGGGAATCGAACCAGCGACCTTTTAGATACTAGTCTCTTAGTTACTTATGCTCATTGGAATGGTATCCCAAAGGTCGCGGGTTCAATTTTCACCGTGGTCAGGCAAACGTTTCCGCTTGCCCGGTGTGGATGCGCACTGGCTCAGAGTAACACCACAAACATCATATTCACCAGTATACATAACATCAACAAACACAAAAAGTATCATATCTTAGAATATCATTGATATTGAAGGAACTAGACTCAGTTCCGAAATATCATCAACTCGAACCGACTTGACGATTTTTGTAGGACCCATTTGTTTAGACAAATCGGTTCCAAAAAACACTGAATGTTCTTATTTTCTTACTCTTTTTGGTGCAGTCGCGATAGCAGTGCCATAGCGACTGGTCATGCTATGGAAATTTTTAAATAAATGTTATAGTATCATCCAAACCTACAGGAATCCATTGTTTTTAATTTAATTCGGTACAGGGTATTGGCATAGAATGACCAGTTGCCATTGTTTAGCCAGGCCACTGGAAGTGATACATAAAAAAAGGCATCTCCTGTTCAGTATCAAAGCCACGAGGAACACTGAAAAAGTATTTTTGTTCATCATATGTCTTGTTCACCGAAATCTAGCAAGTTTGTTGTTGTTAAAGTTTGTTTCAAGGTCGAAAGTCATTTTGTAAAATTCAATTATCATGTAATTAACGCAGACTTTGAACGACATGAGCAAATGTCCCACCTTTCTGCTGATAATTCATTCACTTTACTAAGGATATCAATAAATCATTACTGCTTAGGCATTCGTTTTTTCTAGAGAATTCACCTTCCAGTACCTCTTAAATTTGTATCAATTCATTTTCGATTGCGTTTCAGCCAATATCAAAGAAAAATAGTTGTTTCAGAACACATATTCACTCACCTCATTCCATATTGATTCGTAATTATATTGTTTCCTCCAATTGCGCCTTTGTTCTTACTAATAGTATGAATATGAATCTTCCTGTCGTCATAGAAGCTTTTTTCTGGGCACCGACCTGCACTACGATTGCCTTGATTATTGATATCAGGGACATTGGGTTGTTCATCAACATGATATCCAGCTGCTGGACCAGGGGCACTTATTGGGGATGAAGTTGGTTTCTTGACATTACAATATGGAGAATAATGCTGTGCTGTGGCGAAACTGAAAGGGAAGTGATAAACATGATACGCTTCTGCCTGATGGTAAGTATGAATGAATACTTGTGAATGAATGAATCTCGAATGGTCTGTGACATGTAGGTAACGACGATAAGAGACTGGTCATTATGTTTATGGCAGGCGGTGGCAACACTCTAAAAACAGGTGTGTTCAATTACACACCATGGTGTGTTTAATTACACACCAAGGTGTGTTTAATTACACACCAAGGTGTGTACATTTTACACACCTTCCTATACAATTTTAGAAAACACACCTTTGTGTGTTAGAAAACACACCATGATGTGTTAGAAAACACACCATGGTGTGTAACAAAACACACCTAGGTGTGCTAAGAAACACACCTGTATTTTACACACCTTTTCTTACACACCTTTGATGCATATAAGGTGTGTTCAATAACACACCTTTTGAATGAAAACACACCTTGGTGTGTTCGAGAACACACCTCATACTAATTTGCAAAACACATCTTGGTGTGTTAGATAACACACCCTACGCCGATTTTGGAAAACACGCGTGCACGGTGTGTACTGAAAAATGCTTTTTAGTAACATACAATAAATCCAGTCATCAATCACGGTAATGTATGCTATAATATGTTTTTCGGATATATACAGTAGATGTAAATGGCGATATCGACTTTGCCGGCGATATCAAGTTTTACGTGTCTAATAACCGTTTGATATTTGTTGTGTAGTATTTTATTCTCTCGCATGTAGTAAGAGCATTACTGGGACTATTTATTTTCTAAGAGATTAATCTGTCTTTAGCACACCATTAATATCTGAAATATAGCCGGTAACTGGCCTTTTGAAGCTCTTCGGATCGAAAGAAACGAAAATTCTCACGATGAGCGCGATTTTACAGACTGGTGCCTAGTTTTCCTACTACGCGCGCAAAGCTTCCCGGGATAGCGTCATTTATTCACACCGCCATTACGCCATATTTTTCAAGCCTTCTTTCTGAATTTATGGTTCGAAAAATTCGCTTTTTTTAAGCGACGACGAATGATTTAAACGAAGAGGAAACAGCGGGCATAACTGAATAACATTCAGGTAAGCATATTGTTATGTTATATGTATAATGGAGCAGTTTTGAAAGTAAATATTCGCTATCTTCATTCATGAATTTTGAGCATGTGTTCATGTTTAAAATTTGAATTTGCCGCGACAATATTTGAATTAAAAAGATGATATATTAGTTTTATAGAAGGCTTACATTTGACTTTATATTAAATTATGTTTATTGTATAAAGGGCAACTAATATTTGTGTATATGAATATATGACAGACTACCAGATAACAATGTTTCTGGTATAAAGTATAAATATAGCTTGGCATCTACTCAATCATCATATGCTCAACTACACATGTCCCAGCTAAACATGGTTTGAGAAAATATAACCACTTGTTTCAAATCAACTGCTACTTTCATAAGTTTCTAATTTTTATATATCTAGGTTTTTTATGTCCAAATTCTTCAATCAATGAAAAAATCTATTTCACTGTTAGAGGTGTTATGCACCAGTCAATGAAAACCTATACAACTCAGCCCCCCCACCCCACCCCCCGAATATAAGCCCAGTAGCCCACTACGTTATTCAACATTGACATTGTCTTTTAATTAACCCATTAAGCTGCGGAACTTCCCCATTGACAAGTAAAATTGTCTGGCATAAGACAAGTAAAAAAATAAGTAAGGCACACTGGGGCGCATTGCGGCTTGATGGGTTTACCAGAGACATTGTCAAATTTTTTGGTCAACCCATTAAGCTGCAGAGTTTCCCCATTGACAAGTAAAATTTGGCGTTAGACAAGTGAAAAAAAAGTAGAGCACGCTGGGGCGCATTGTGGCTCAATGGGTTAATATATCAGAGAACAATATTTAAAAACATTGTCTTTATAGCTTAAGTCAACGACAAAACGTCGTTAATTAATCAAAGTGCATTATTACTATGTGTTTATTTTCCTGTTTATGACTGACTTGTTTATTATACTAACACAAAAGATTGAATGTCCATGTATAAGCTCTATCCCTCCTATATACTGTAACCCCCCCCCCTTTGTATAAGCCCACCAAATATATAGCCCAGGGTTTATAGTCCGAGATTTACGGTATTCCATGAACCCATTAAGATGTGATGTTGTGATGGATTAACAGACTGTGTGTGCATGTCTCAACTACCATTAGCACTTACATACCCTAATTTAACCCATTAAGCTGCAGAGCTTCCCCGCGTTTTCCCCGTTTCCTAGGATACGAGGCCTCATCACGATTTATGAATAAGGTCTATAGTACTCTGATTTTCCATTTAACATACGAGCCTCTAGTTCTGGGATAGGGTACATTTTGATTTACGTTGGACAAAGCTACAGTTCGGTCGGACACAAATACACTCAGGTCGGACAAACAATAAACCTCAATTTCACTTTGGTCGGACAGAATGTCTGGTGGTTTCCTCTCTACGTCAGACAATTTCACTAATGGGTCGGACAATGTCCATGACCGACCGATATTTTAAGGCCTGCATAGCCGGATTAACCCTAACCCGTAGTTAAAATTTATGTATTTCTACGTACAGTATCTTTTTGTTTTAAAATTATGAAAAGAAAACTTCTATGGTACTGATCCAGACAAGATGTCTAAAGAAATATTTCCAAATTTATAAACAAACTGTTAGGAAGTTTGCTTTTAAAATCTAAGGTTAACTTATCGGCTTTTGAACAATCAACCCCTGCATAGGGGTGCACCAGAACCAGTTTTTTAAGTTCCGGCCGGAACCGGATCTGACCGGAACTGGAAAAAAGTTCCGGCCGGAACCGGAACTAATTTATTAAACCATATATAGTCATATTTTACTTTGTCCGCTGCCAGACAGGCAGACACTTCAAGTCATAAAGGAGAGAGCTCGCAAATGTTAGAATAAAAAGATTGACAAGCGTTAAACGTCATAATGAAGTGTTAGTAGTGTACATTTCCCTTGCGTAGTCCAAATTTCTTCCTACTGTGACCTTTTGTTAGACACAAAAACGTTTGATATTCTATCTCTCTGAAAACCACAGAGTTGTGGTTCCGGCCATGCTTTTTTTACTAGTTCCGGCCGGAACCGGAACTCTAAAAAATCGGGTTCCGGCCGGAACTGACCGGCCGGAACCGAGTTCCGGTGCACCCCTACCCCTGCATGGTGATTTTGTTTGTCAATGGGGAGTGTGTTGGACTTAAAAGGTTTTAACCTTTCATTGAAACTAGATTGTCTGCCCGCATTTTGTGTTAACACATTATTAAGATAAAAGCCAGACTGCTTTCAGTACTTCATGATTTTACTATCATCACATTTCATATTTAACCCTTTTAGATGCAAAGGACATTTTAGTCATCCAGAGGGGGAGGGAGTCTAAGAGTAGAATCTTCTGAGACTGATAATAGTAAGATGTACTAAGACATCAATGGAATGGGGGGGGGGGTTAAATTCCAAGTTTCTTTGTATGTCATGCTTGAAGTTTTCAAGGATGGATAGATCGGCTTAGATAAAAATGTCAATTTGATGTTTTGTGTGGCAACTTGAATATGGACATCTCCCTAATTGGAAACAGTTAAAGTCCTTAGTTTGTTTGTTTGTTCAAACTGATGAATACATTTAGCTAGCTACACCACCCACATGATCTGCTTAGTAATATATGTAATGTAACAACCCAATTCACTCCAATTAACCCAGTTTTCAGCACTTTCTTAAATTATGTCACCTTTCCTAATGCCGGACAAATTAATTTGTGTGTAGCTAGATTTTACCCATGTTTCATGTTGACATATTTAGATGCAATTTTCCCTAACACTCCCTACTTTAAGTACTTTAATATTGAACTGTGACGTCTTATGCTAGACAATTTTACTTATCGACTGCATGGACTCATTTCACCTATTAACACAGAAGAAACAATTTCCTCTTAAATGTTGCCTATTTTCGGTTCTTTCTAGGGGTGTGCAGGACAGAGTATTTCTGCTATCCAGCTAGATACACTATGCTGGATGGCTGAAAAATATCCAGCCCGATTAAGGGTATTATTCAAATAATTATATAAGGTTCAGGCATCATTTAAGGTTAAGTACTGGTAATAATTTTATTTGGTTAAAAAGTAAACGGTCTAAAACTAGTAAACCTGCATCATTGGTAGCAAACATGCATCATTGGTAGTAATTAAAAGACTTGTTTACATCAGTTAAAAGTTCAAATCCCCATTTACTGTACAAACAAGCATTGAAAATACTGATCATATTTATCATATTTTTACTTCAATGATCATGATATGATAACCTTATCAAATCATTTTCTAACCTGAAAAGAAGGCCTGAACCCTATATGAATAATATCCGGCATTGGGTAGCCGAATACCAGATAATGAATTAAAATCTTAATATCCGGCCAGATACAGTATCAGTCCATTGCATCCTATGTCTTGAAATGCCAAACAAATTAACTTGTTAAATGACTGTATATTGATATTCAATATACTTAGCTAATATATGCACCCTTTTATTGTTAACCCTTTGAGCAGCAATGTGCCCAAGTGCACCCTACTTTGTTATGTTGCACTTAACTAACACCAGACATTTTACTTTGTGAAATGCCAGACAATTTTACTCCTCAAGAGCAGTGTCCTGCTCACTAATGGTTATCCAAACTATCTGCCAATGTGCCTTGATAACCCATTAGGCCGAAATGCACCCAAATGGACCCGCCTTTGTTATTTTACTCTGTCAAACGCCAGACAATTTTAGTCATCAAGAAGAGAGTCCTGCGTGCTAGTGGGTTAAATGACTTAATTACATATGTTATATATAAACTTAAGCTGTTAGATTGTCCCATTGTATATTAATTTTTTACTTATCTTGACACAGGCTTGTATGTTGGATTGATACGACTACCTGTAAATATGGTTAAACTTGGCTATGTGATTCAAAGGTTGTGGTTCACCGAGCGATAAAGAAAATGATACAAAGATGGAATGATTGGATGCAAGTTATTTACAGTGTTTCATATGACAGGTATTCTGATTGTGGAAGATGTGGGCTTGCAATATTTTGACAATTGCATGGCTATAAAGTACGAGACAATTAATATAGTACTCCATTACTCTAATTGCCAGAACACTGCATCAGAATGAGAAGTTGTCTGTTACAGTTCGGTTTAGTAAAAGTACATAGTAAAAGTACATAGTCAACTATGTAAAATGTAATTTAGTCAGTGTCAAATAAATATTTTGTCATGGATAAACTCTGTGCAAATGAGCATGTCTCTAATGTCATTTTACTTTTAATAAGAATATGTAGATGTGTTTTCTAATACACCTCCTTAGGTTTGCTGTGTTATTATAGCATCTTTTGTAGGTGTGTTATGTAACACACCTTAGTGTGTTATGAAACACACCTTACAACGTGCTGTAAACATTACAGACCTGAATGGTGTGTTATACAGCACAGCTTTAGGTGTGTTTTAAAACACGCCATGGTGTGTATGAAAACACGCCATGGTGTGTATGAAAACACGCCATGGTGTGTACGAAAACACGCCATGGTGTGTTCAAAAACACACCTTTATACAAAACACACCTTAAGGTGTGTTAAAATCTGGACAAGCCGAAAACACACCTTAAGGTGGGTTTTAGAACACACCTTAAGGTGTGTTTAACACACCTTAAGGTGTGTTAAACACACCTTAAGCTGTGTTACAAAACACGCCAAAAGCTGTGTTAAACACACCTTAAGGTGTGTTTTAAAACCCACCTTAAGGTGTGTTAAAATTTGGACAAAAAGGTGTGTTAAATTAACACACCTTTTTTTAGAGTGTTGTATTCGGAGTCATTAGATGGTGTCATGCAGGAGTAAATAAAAACTAGATATGGATAAGTTAGATCCTCCTAAGTCTTTGATATTAACAGGAAATTTAGCTGAAAATTGGAGAAGGTTCAAATCTGATTTATAAGCTTGGAGAAACATGTAGATATTTATAGAACATCTGAAATAAGTGCCTTCCAATTGAAGGAACTTACTGATGAAAAGTCAGTACATGCTGTGCGAGTTGAAGATAAGGCGGGTCAAAGCGATACAAGGAAGGAAAAGAGAGAAGAGAAAAGGGATAAAACTGGTAATAATATTTGTAACAATTGTGGTTATCGACATAGGAGAGGTCGTTGCCCAGCATATGGTAAGAACTGCAATAGATGCAAAAAGTTATATGTGTAAAGCAAAAGAGGTAAACTTTATTGATAAAATTGATGAAGAACAAGATCAACATTTCTTCATTGGAACAGTTAATTCTGATGAAGCGAAGCAGGACGACTGCATGGTGTGTAAATTTGAAAGTAAAGATGTCAATGCCGGGTCTGTGTAGAAAAGTTGGAATTGGATACAATCACAAAAATTGGAGCTAAATTGATTTCATATTCAGGGCATGAGATTAAGGCAGTAGGCAAAGCCACAATTGCAGTCGAATGCAAGAACAAGTATTATTTTCTGGATGTACTAGTTGTAAACTCTGATGTCATACGATATATATATATATCTATATATATCTATATATCTATATATATCTATATATATCTATATATATATATATATATATATATATATATATCTATATATATATATATATATATATATATATATATATATATATATATATATATATATATATATATATATATATATATATATATATATATATATATATATATATATATATATATATATATATATTGGGGGGAGGGATTACCAAGCAGCAATTAGTTGAATTTAATTCAGAGAGTTCTGTAAAATTGAAACAGTGATAGCCACTCGTCTCCGTGTCAAGTACCTTTTTAATGCAATGTTTTGAAAGAAACTTTGTAGTGATTGTAATGAAGGGTGGGTAAAATTGAATGAATTGTACAGTCATAATTCATTAATACACTGGTATTTTTGTACACTACATGCATACCTCATGTCGTGGATTTTGGCCCGTTCTGAGCCCTAACTTTCCATAGGGGTCGTGAGCTAGACTGCTGCACCTCCCTTAAATTTTTTTCCACCTCCCCCACTATTTCCACCAAAATCCGGCCTTGGGCAACAGCATACAAGACGAAACTAATGTGAAGTTAGTGAAATCACCAGTTGTAAGTAAAGTTAGTGACAGAGTCATCAGAAGACCTGACAGGTATATGCCTTGACATTATCTAGTATATCATCTTAATTCATTATTAAGTATATCATGATCTTAATTCTTTAAAAAAAGTTACTGTGCTGCAAATAGCATTAAAAAACTCATTAATAATTCATGAGGAAAATACAAAAGAAATGAGTGTTTAATCAATGCTTGTAAATCGGATAAAGATTTGTCCTGATTAACATAAACTTCAGCTTTGATTTTCTCGGCTTAGACAATGTCTATTTTTAAAATTACTTTGCAATGAACTCATACGATGGGTCATTTTTTAAAACACGTTCAAACATTCGCATCCGATCTTTACCAGATCTACATAATCTCGCCTTCGGCTCGAGTTTGTATATCATATAAAGATCGGCTGCTCATGTTTTAACTAGTACTAAATAAGGTCACTGAGGAACTGAATACAGATGTTATACTGATGATATACAGTCATCTTGTATTTGGAGTTATTACAGTGTCATTAAGATTAATACGCATGCACTCTACCTCGACATATTCGGCCTTGAAAAGACCAACAACAGGTTTCTGTGCTAACCAGATACGGCATATACCTTCTGCTCGAAATTCTTCCGCCCAGCCACTAATTTGGATTAAAAACTCTACAAATATTTGAAACAAAATGGTTTGTCAAATCCAAGCTTACTACTAATTATAGCTTTATATATATTGGACCTTATAGACGCCTTTAGATCATGTCGGGTTTTTTACGCAGACTGCATGTATAGTAGTGTCATTATAGTACTAGTGTGAATGGCTGGAGTCCTACAATTATGGTGGACACCGCATGCGTGAAAAGAAACATCTGTCTTGCCCAATCATATCTTTGCAATTAAACAGCAATATCAACGCCCCCCTCTCCCTCGTTCAATGTTGGAAGCTTATATATTGGTTAGGTGAAAGTTTTGTGAAATACAATATTAAAACCAACATTGGACTGGGGAGCGAGACATACAAAGATGCTAATATGTTCATGAATAGTAATTTTTGCTATGATTGTAGTTCCCCGAATTTTTTTTTGGATGTTAATTTTCCAGGAAGATTGTCACAGAAATTTATAAGGTTATTGATATAGGCAGCTGATGAGTATATTAAAGCCTGGTTCACACTGGTCGTAAGAATCGGGGATTTCCATTGTCTGTGGTCATTGGTGTGTAAAATGCTTTGTCCATCGGAAAAAAATACAATAGATCGCCGATGAATTACGACCAGTGTGAACCAGGCTTAAAGGCCCATTTACACGATACGACTATAGTCGTATACGATTGTTATTCTGGCATATGAAAACGACTACTGACGCCATTATCCCTGTTCAACAGGTTATATGGAGAAATTTGAAATGTAACATCTTTACATGAATTTTTTCAAGTACATACTGGATAAGAATCGAATACGGCAAGTCGTATCGTGCAGATGGCCTTAAGCCTGGTTCACACTAGCAATTTTGTCGGCGATTTTGTGTTTCTCACGGATGCAAATGAGTGAACTACCACACAAAAGTAAAGAGTCGCTTTTCAGAAGTAAAAAATTATAAGTCGTTTGCATGTCATTCACTCGATCATATTTGCCAGGAGCAAAAAAATCGCCGACAGAAGTGCTAATAATAATAAGTGTGAATCAGGCTTAAAAGAACTATATTTATCCCCGAGCCAACGGCGCGGAGCACCGTTCCGGGCATAAGCCCGGGGCGTGGGTACTAATTCCGAATGGCTATTCACAACCGGGGAAACGAAAGCATTAGCGAAGTCTAAAGTTCATCAATGATCGCGGGCGTTGGTGACCAACGGTGTTGAGTGGGTGGTCATCCTCACTGATCTCAAAATATGTAGCGGACTGTCATGAATAGCGAACACTGAGTCAAATTTAAAATTTCACCTGAGTACACCACACCAACACATAAAAAATTATGATTATTAGACTAGAAATACATGCATGCAACAACCCCTCGCCTATATTTTCCAAACATTGTATCAACATGAAGTATTCGTAATTACGCCAACACTGAACCACAGAATAGGGTACGCAGAAGGCCAACTTCTTGTTTTTTCCTATGATTTTGGCGTAACCCGTAATTCGTCATCAAATGCTGACGCCAAGATCCTAGCCAGTGCGCGTTTGAGAGGCATTCACCCCCCCCCCCCTGATAATATTCAAAATGGCGGGCATCCAGGGGGAATGCCTCTCAAACGCGCACTGGCTAGGACCATGGCGTCAGCAGAACTATCAATTTCTAAAATATATAAAGTAAGTATATTATTTTGGTTTCTATGGGCTTTATTTTAATGTAAAATTCAAAACGAAACTCTACGTAAAAGTTTTTAAATTTGAATTGAAATTAACTGCTTTTTGCCGATATTTATAAACTCTTCAACTCGAGCTTCAACTTATTACTCACACTTTTAAATGAAATAAATTTAATTCGTACAAGACGCTAATGAAAATAATTTGCTTTCCTTTTTATCATGAACTTCTACAAAAGTTAATTTAAGTAAGAAACTTTCGCAAACAATGCATAGGAAAGACTTGAACATCAAGAACAAAGTCAAATTCTATATCAATACAAAGTCATACATAAACAATTGAAACAAACTTGCCTTATAGTACTTTAGGATTTCTCATCTCATATTAAATCAATTCTTATAAATGTTTACGTTTAAAAGTTGTAAAAAATTTTTACAATTTGTTATGTGAAACAATTTTCCAAGCTTTCTGACATGTACTTTTTATATTTTTGCCTCTTCACTCCTGGAAAACAGGCATATGTTGAGATCAGTGAGATGACTACCCACCGAACCACGCACAGTAACCCACGCCCGCGATCATTGATGAACTTTAGACTTCGCTAATGCTTTCGTTTCCCCGCGGGTGTAAATAGCCGGGTGGAATTAGTACCCTCGCCCAGGGCTTACGCCCGGAACGGCGCTGCGCGCCGTTGGCTCGGGGATTACATCGATATCGATGGACCTAGATTCGGTTAACAGGTGGGCAATTTGTCTGAGCATGCGCAAAGAAAATCAACATGGCGACATATATTAGGAGTGTTTCGTGTATTTATCTGGTTTTAAAGCTGATAAAACAACATTTTAATGAAAGAAAACTTTGTAACATTCAGTGGAAAACATTAAGCTATGCATTCCAAAGGTTTTACAGTGAAAATAAGTACTTTTGCTTTATTTTATTTTATTGCTTTTTATGCTTTGAAAACAGGCAAGCTCATTTTTTTGCAAAAATGTAATCTAATATTTTACCAATCATTTGTTTAATCTGAAAAGAAATAGATAGAACACTTGGCTATATAAGTTACAAAGGTATTGTTAGCTGATCTGAAAGATTTCAGTATTCCTGGTACACATTTTAACAAAGAATGAAATGTAATTTCAAAAATTAAATATGCATATCAAAAACAATAGTTTTTATTAGAACAACATGTTGTTACATAATAAGTTGTTATTTTCTATTTTTACAAAAACAAGTTTGGAAACAGGATTTAGTCCTCCAGCTTGATGTCATATTCCATTTATTTGGATATTTCAATAAAGGAATGTGAAATAATAATTTAATCTTGTGCAAAATTTGATACCAACACACATGTTAACAGATACTATCACCTAAAAATAAAAGAAAACAGAACATAAATTTATCATCTAATGCTATGAAAAAATCTTAGATATATAGGCATATAGTGAGCACAATTCTTTAACGAACTCACTAAAATAAAAGTTATGCTGTGATAAGAGGATGGCAATATATAACAGCATCAAACGTTGTCATCATCATTTTTCGTGGTCGCATAACTGGTATTGCCACAAACCCATGTAAAAAAGCAATTAGAAAAACCTGGTTTTGGGTATGAGCATAGTCAAATTCTTGACTTATTCAATTTACTATGTTTTTCCAGGTAAACAGTCAGATTAAATATTGAAATAAGCCAAATTCGGGACCTCATAGAATCCAAACTATTGTGTATGGACCAGATTTTTTTCAATGGGTCATCCCAGAAAACATCCATACCACTCCCACGGAGGAAATAGGAAGTTAACCCCTCTACCCCCTTCGGATGTCCTAATACATTTACTATTATCAGAAACAATTTTTTCTCCCCTCCCCCTCCGGACGGCAGAAATTTCCTCCGTGGGGGGAGTATGGATCTTTTCCGGAACGACCCAATTTTCTGCGATTCACATAATACTAGTTATAATTTAAGGGTCAACCAGTATTGTTCAAGACATATTTTCCTTCCAGAACACCTTTTCAAAATACTAACCCAAACATGTCAAAAATAGTGTATATTTACAAGGGCAATTTCAACCCTTTGGCACATTTTTCCCATGAATGATTTTAATTCTAATAAAAAGACATAATATTTTTAAGATAATTTTTAAGCTATACCTCAAAGATGGGTCATTTCAACATAAACATTGAAATATGGGTATATTGACAACTCTGTTACACGTGTCGTTTGGCATTAGCAGACCTTCTGAAACATTTTAATGAAAGTATAATTCAGAAAGTTCACATTTTCACTTACTTCTTAACATCTGTTTTAATCCAACTAGCTCCATAGGCATGAGCAAAATTTAGTGTTGATGTAAATATCCATTTAGTTCATGTTTCCCCAGTGAAAATATAGTCTATTCCAAAGCTGATTTCGACGTACTTTAGCTTTTCTGAAACCGTTGGCCTTCCCCCAGTGAGATTATCAACTGTTTCACAAACATATTTGATAGTAAACAGCTAAAATATTCTCCGAAAGTCTATATTTTTGCTCTTCGACGCGAAAATGGCAACTCAAGAAGAAATGAGCCGCTATTTTTGGTCAGCGTCGACAAATTGCCCACCTGTTGATTCGGTCACAGATGATAGATAATACCAGATGAATCACTCAGCCAAAATTGTGTCCGCGATTTTTTATGAACACGCGTTGGCCGCTATTTTGGCAGTAAGCGTAATCCACGCATCCACGCCATGAAACGTGAGCAATCCACTGGAGCAATCAAGCATTTTGGCAGTAAGCGCCATTTTGGCAGTAAGTGTCGCACGCGTCATCTGGCGTGATAGACTCGCGAAAATCGCGGACACGAAAATCATAGGTCTGGGATAGATACACAGTGATTCATCTGGTATAATCTATCATCTGTGATTCGGTTCCGAAATATCACATACACGAACCGACCTGATCGCGTAGCTCAGTTGGCAGAGCATTGGGCTAGTATTCCAAAGGTCGTAGGTTCGATTCCCACCGTGGACAGACATATTTTTCAAGCTTGCCCGGTGACGGTGTGGATATACAATCAGAGTAACATCACAAGCATCATGTTCACCTGAGTACACTACACCAACACATAAAAAATCATTTTGTGGTCAATTGAATTAAAGCCAAAGGCCTTACGGATATCTATTGTAAGAACACAACTCCCTTCAATTTGCGTCATCGATCACACATTTGTATCATCGCAGACAAAATCGAATTCTTAAGACGAAACCCTGCTTGATATTTGAATTCGACAGCAGCGAATTGTCGTTAAGAAACTTATTATATCTGGTTGAAAACAAATCTCTCAGCGAGTGATTTTACTAATAATTAGTAATTATGGAATTTGGCCGAAAATTTTCGCATTTGGGTTTATCGTCTGATTTATTTTTCTATAAGTCATCAACAAAAATTCCGGATTTTAATGAAAGGTTGAGAATCTTAGTTATTGATGGACCTATTATGTCTGCGGATATTTTGAGGACTTTTGCTGGAATATTATCAAAACCTATTGATTTTGATACAATCAGATTGAGTAACTCAGAAATAACTTCGACAGTACTAATTTCAGAAAATCTGAAGGTTGAATTGAGTGAGGGAGTGTAACTATTCGTTGAGCCCTCTCGTCTAAGTACTACCAGTCATTACATAATCTTGGATATTCTCAGAGGCTAATTTTGTTCCAAGCGAGCCTGCATTCAGTGTTGACCATTTCCAAATAATTACGTCATGTTAATAAGCAAATCTAGCTTTTAGTTTATGTGTGCAGAGTAAGGAATATCATATTGCTGATTATGCTGTAAAAATAAAAATGGTGGCTGTGTAAACACGGCGTGATAGCTTATACTTGTCCCTGAGATGAGGGTACTAATTCCGCTCGGCTATTTTATCGCCCGGGGCGAGGATACTAATTCTGCTCTGCTATTTACACCCGAGGAAAGGAAAGCACTAGTTAGTGAAGTGTGAAGTTCATCAAATATTGCGAGCATCTGGCTATGATTCAAGGGTGAACCTCCCACTGATCTCAAAAATGTGGCTGACTGTCATGGAAATGGCGAGTGATTGGTCAAATATAAATTTTGCTTTATGATCATGACATTACAACAGCATAATAGCAGACACTATTTAAAAATTAATAGATCTGCTTTATTAAAAATTTTGCAAAGTCTTTTTACGGGTTCTTTTGAAAAAATTTAAGAAAAATTAAAGCGGAAGTCAAGTCCGTAATGTAAACAAACAGTTTGTTTACATTTTGAACTGCTGTATTTTTTTAAAATATGATGTACTGTCTGAATATCTAACACAATTTTGGTTCGCTACAGTATGCTTCTAAATGAATATGAAATAGAGTTTATGTTCAGAAAAATTCGAAACATTCGAAATTTGAGCAATGTTCACATTAGAGGTCCTCACATTGTTATGAGCAGAACCGATGCGCAGAACAGACTTGACTTCCACTTTAAACAAATAAAATATTAAACAAGGAACCAGGTGGAAACTTGCAAGAAGACGCCAGAAAATAATTAGCACAAGTTTGGAAAAACAACCAATCAGAGCCTGATTTTTGCTGGTGTTTCCCAGAGCCTCAGGAAGCTCCACAGAGGATTGCAGGCTCAGGGTTCAAGATTGAAAATGCCCTGGCTGTTTGGAAGAGGTTATTTCGCTGGCCTCAAAGTGACAAAACATTTCCATAATCCTAACCCCAACCCTATCCCTAACCTAACCCTACTCCAAGTTTGTTTCTAAACCAATCTTGAAGACATAAGTTTTGACGAAATGTCATTCTGAGGTCAGCGAAATAGTATTTTCCTGGCTGTTTGGATATTAGAAGTATTCACATGCACACGAGATTGATTTTGACAGTGGTCATGGCTGGAAACAGTTGCTGTGAGTGATTAGAATCGTTGAGGTAGTCATTTAAAATATTCCCAAAAATGGAGGAAATGTCATTTCAGAGACTCTAGATTTCAACTATTTTGTGGGAGCTCCCC